CTCTCTGCTCTCTCTCTCCTCGTCACTGCTCTCTCCTCTCTCTCTCTCTCTGCGTCGTCTCTCTATCTCTCTCTGCTCTCTCTCTCCTCGTCTCTCGCTCTCTCCCTCTCTCTCTCTCTCTCTTCGGTCTAGCTCTTCTCTCTGCTCTCTCGTCTGGCGTCTGCCTGCTGCTGGCTTGTCTCTGGCTCCGCGGTCTCTCTGCTGCTCGGTTTCATCGCTTCCTCTGCCTAAAGTCTAGTGGCTATCCTGGAGTCTCTCTCAGGTCTGCCCTCCGAAACGCCACTTCGGTGGAGGTAACGGTAACACACGCCCCAGCGCCCACACCGCATTGCACGCCGCACGCTACGCACACACTGCGGCCCGTCAACACACGGCGCGACGCACACACACGCCACACGGCACGCACGCACCACGCACCGCACGGACGCTGACGCCACGTCACGCACGCCACTTACCGACCTATCGTTGTTCGTTTCCCTCCTCGACCGTGACCTCTGCCACTCTGCCCTTGACCTCTAGAGGAATCTCAGCGTCCAGGTTACGGATCTCCTCCCGTGGCTGCACCGGTGCCTCGTTCGCCGGCGTATCTTCTCTCCTGGAAATGAGATTCTTTCCAGCGCCCACGAGGATTGTCAGGATGAGGAGGGCCGGGATGACCTTCTCCATTTTCCAGCCAAAGCGTCTTTTACTATTACTACTGCTGCTGCTGCTGCTACTGTAAGGCAACACGAGACGATACACCCTCTACTAGAAATTGACACAAGCCAAGGAGAAGCTGCAGGGGCCGAGGGGCTCGGCCCCCCATGGTCGGCCCTCAACACACACGCGGCCGCGGTAGTGGCGCGGGGTGGGTGCGTTCACGACAAGCTGTCCACGGCGACGACCACTGCTAGCTAACGCGTGGCAGACGAAAGACCAGCTGCAAATAAGCAGACGGTTATCCTACTGCTCGTGGTGGACTGGTCTTATGTATCAGATGGAAGACTCGGCGTCTTAATGTAATCCGATGGAAGACTGGTCTTTATGTATCAGGCATTGAACGACTTGTCTTAAGTGTACGAGAATTGGGAAAGGACATGGTGCTAATGTAAATCAGATGGAAGGACTGCGGAAGACTGGTCTTAATGTATCAGATGGAAGACTGGTCTTAATGTATCAGATGGAAGACTGGTCTTAATGTATCAGATGGAAGACTGGTCTTAATGTATCAGATGCCAGACGAGGTGAGGATTGGATGATCAAGTCACAGAGTAACGCTGCCACCGGCTCCCACGCGTTCCTCCTCTATCTGCTCCTCTATCTGCTCCTCTATCTGCTCCTCTCTGCGTCTCTCTCACGCGGCACAACGAACCACTCACCGCCCCTCCTCGCTCATCCCGCGCACGCACGCACGCACGCACGCACACACGCACGCACGCACGAGAGAGAGAGAGAGAGTTGTCGCACACAAACAAGAGCACGTCTCTTCGCGACCGTTGGTCGTGTCTTAGCACGATGTTCTTGACTCCAGACGTCTTACAACGTATCACAATCTATCACAATGACTCACAATGTCTTACAATGTATCACAATGTATCACAGTGACTCACAATGTATCACAATGACTCACAGTGGCTCACAATGTCGGCGTTTCACGGCGTCGCCGCTTCCGACGTCATGAGTTGATCTAACGACCGACTAAACGGCGGCACGATGGACGCAAATTGACGACGAAATTGCTTGCTGTCCCACACAGAGCGGAGTGTGTGTGTGTGTGTGTGTGTGTGTGTGTGTGTGAGCGGCAGGGTCGATTAATGTATGTGCGGTGGATCATGTGTGTCCGTCTGTCTGTCCGGCAGACGGTAATGCTAGTGCTCGCAGGTAAACGAACTCGTCTGCCTCTCTCTCACGTGCTTTCTCTCTTTCTTGCTTCTCTCTCTCTGTGTGTGTCCGTCTTTCTCTCCCTCTGTTTCTCTCTTGTTCTCTGTCTGTCTGTATTTCTCTTTCTCTCCCTCTCTTTCTCTCTTTCTCGCCCACGTTCTCTATCTCAGATAGTGTGACCACGGTTAGTGTAGCAGCTCCCGCGCACACAACACAGAACAAGCTAACAGACTAGCGCACGCTTACGACTAGCGGATAAGCACCACTAAGAGCCAACAAGCCAACATGCAGGCTGAGAGGGAGAGGGGGAGGGAGGAGGCAGAGCTGCAGTCACACCTGAGCAGGCAGGTAGTTAGAGCGTGCAGTGAGGGTAGGACGAGCAAGCATGAGCCGCTGCTACCACACACTGATCTACATTAACACACAGTTTGTAGAGTTCATAATAATAAACACGCGCAGAGATCAATGGCACTAAGCAACAGCTTACCTTACTAGAAATGCATACCGTGCTGCCATCTATCGGAGAAAATATCCGTACTAGCATTAATATGAACCAAGGGGAAATAATTCGATATTATTTTCTCCTGGTATGCACTGAATTTAACACTGATCTCTACGGGTTTCGTCTACTTATTTGTAGCTTGTCGCATTGCTGAACTATGATAACAAGGAGTGTCAGCATACGTACCCCAACATTTCACAGAAATTAACATCAACCTGTGCTGGCTAGTACAACACTGATGATCAATGCTGTTATGGCATTTTATCCGGATATTTGCCTATATCATAGATACACTAATAGATACAATAATGTAACCCAACAGAGTATGGTAACCCTGTTTGGTCACATTATTGTATCCACCTATACCACAGTTCACTCTTTGCAGGGAATGCAGTGAACCATATCTGTTAGCTCTACAAGTAATTCTATGTAAACACTGACGAATGCTGGAATAGCAAGCTCACAAATATTCCAGCATAAGCTGTATATAGGATGAGCGAACACCATTTATACGATACTCATGCACCACAACACATACCTCGATGCCATATCTCACTGCGGAATGTCAGATGATGACTTGGTTCCCGGGCTGCTGCTTATGTACACGTACGTGTTTAAGTCTAGAGTCCAATCTTGAGGAATATCAAATGCAAAAACAAGTGACTGTTACATCGATATTAAAAATAGGCAATGAATAATCTTTGATCATGTGATCATGTAGTTACAAGTGCTAGTCTATGTAGTTTGTATTCTTGTTTATTTTATTTGGTAATTTTGTGTGCATACACTGATAACACAGTTACACTTCTCGATATTTTCCAAATGCCATATGCACTTTCAACGGCTTGTAATTTGTTTCTCACAGAAGCAACCTGTTAGGGAGGGAGAGGGATGGAGATGGATGGAGAGGCAGAGTGAGAGCGAGTAAAGGAGATGGAGCAGGAGAGGGAGAGGATGAGGGTGAGGGAGAAGGAGAGGAAGAGGGAGATAAAAAGAGAGAGGGAGTGGAAAAGATAGAGAGAGCTAGAGAGAGATAGAGAGATAGAGAGAGAGAGCGAGAGAAGAAGACAGAGCGAGAGGGAGGAGAGCGCACGCAGACATACAGAGAAAGAGAGCGAGAGAGAGAGAGATAGGAGAGGGAGAGAGAGGGGGAGAGAGAGAGGGGAGAAAGAGAGAGGGGGCGAGAGAGAGAGGGGGGAGAAAGAGAGAAAGTGAGAGAGAGCGAGGGAGGAAAAGAAAGAGAAAGAGAGAGAGAGAGAGAAACAGGGAGAGAGAGCGAGAGAGAGAGACACACACACAGAGAGAGATACAGGGAGAGAGAGAGAGAGAGAGAGAGAGAGAGACATGATGGCAGGAGGTCAGGTAAGACCTGACATGCAGTGACACTGTGACAGTGCCACGTATAACAAGCATTTTATTCTTACAGCCACCGCTGATCTAATTTAAACACTATAGTCTCACAGCAAGAAAACAACCCAAAACTTACAGCTCATCTTAACTGTGCACAACAGGTGTACATGTGTCTGTACACCGTACCGTACTGTAGTGTAGCTTGAAGGAGGAGAGAGGGGGAACACCTAAGATTGAGGGGCAAATTAGGGGACTTGAGGACCGGTTATGGAAACATGAATAAACTGCATATAACGTAACGTAATAAATCCATTAAACCATAGTATACTTGTTCGCATATCATGCATACTACTTGAACATACATTACTCCGTCAATGTTATGACTGTAACTTAATATAAACTTAGAATAAGACGTATTTCAACAGATGAGATGTTTACCTCAGTATCGGAGTTGGCAACTTGGCAGCAGATTGTTTCTTCTGGCTCCCTCTTGTGGTACAAAACGTAACCAAATGCGATAACAGCATACAGCCAGTCGCAATTCCGCATTTTCCAGGCAACCGGGAAGGACTGGACAGATGTAGTAACCATTTTTATTCATGTTATCAGTTATATATTTCTACATAAAATAGTGTATATGTTAGTGCGATCTTTGTACAGACGTGTAAATTTGTGACGGACATTCTAAGGTGAAACATGGCAGGTGCATTGAAACCAGGGTTCTACAGAATCGAGCTGAACAAGACGGTTTGGGAAATGCCCCAGCGATATCAAATGTTGTCCCCGGTAGGATCCGGTGCATACGGGCAAGTCTGGTAAGATTATAAAATATAGTTCCAAGTTTCCTATTTCCTGTCACGGTGTCTCGTGCCAGATTGCAAACGTCGCTTGCTTTTAATTAAATAATTAGCTCACGATGATTAGTATGCATAATTAATATTGTAGCTACGTTCTCTACTCCTAACTCAAACCTAAACCTAACCTAAGCCTACCCTAAGTCACATAACTTGTCACAAGTCAAGGTTGTATTACCTCTGGTTCAGATCTGTTGAAGTGCAATTACATTCATGCACGCACGCACTACAGCATGTGTCAGAGATAGAAAGCGTAGATTGCGCCGTGTTTTTGCGCCCCCGCAATGTGTGGGGGTGTGGTCACGTGTTGACGCGGCCACCGTCTATGATTACTTACAGCTCTGCACTCGACACCAAGCTGAACAGAAAGGTAGCCATCAAGAAGTTGGCGCGCCCGTTCCAGTCCGCGATCCACGCCAAGCGAACGTACCGTGAGGTTCGCATGTTAAAGCACATGGACCACGAAAACGTACGTGAAACGCACGCGCTTGCGAAGCTGACGTTCGAGTTTGTTCGTTCTTTGCATTTGACGACTGTCTGTGTCAAGATGGCAACTCAGGCCCGTAGCCAGCTTTATATTGGGGTGGTTCGTTTTTCAGTGTTGGCAATTTGCTCGGCAGGTGCGTGTACAGGATTTGTACCAGGGAGGGGG